AAAACAAAAACCTGTTTTTTTATGTAGCAAAATATTATTGGACCAGGTAGGCCAAGAATCTCTAGTTTTCATACAGCTGCTGAAAAGACCTTTATTTAATCCTTGTCAGCTGATCCATTATTGAAACACAACAGCAGTGCATACATGTGTTATGAAAAAAGCAGTCCTTTGTGTTATACATTTTTGTTTTTTTGATCTGGCCTTCTTGTACAATGGGATCTGCTGACTTGATAATGTGGATTTCCTGTTATGGGTTACATATTCTTGAAAGCTATTGTCAAAATCAAACCAACACAAGATTTTATGGTGTTGATTGTGCCTATGCTGTTGGAGGAAACTATTCAGTAATTGATATTTAAAATATTTAATAAGGTAGCTGGCCAGTATACAAATTTATTTTTGAGATTAGGAAATTAAAGCCCTTTAATTCATTCTACAGATCATCATGGAGGAAATCTACCTATGTGATCACTAAGAGTTGACAATGTAATCATCATAATCAGCTCATACTATGGTTATTGTTCAAATCTGAAACATGTTTTGTAATGGAATGGCCAGTTTCATCTTTCATGTAGAGGCACTTAACTGCATTTCTAAATAGCACTTGTTTTTTTAAAATTAAATTATTTTTTATCTCTATTTTAGGATTTAATGGAATTTTTAAATCCAAATGGCAGTGACTGCACCTTGGTCTTATTTTATACCCCTTGGTGTCGCTTCTCTGCCAATTTGGCTCCTCATTTTAATTGTCTGCCTCGAGTGTTCCCCACACTACATTTCTTGGCCTTGGATGCCTCTCAACACAGCAGGTAAATTGTATTCTCTTCTGAATAATTGTTAAGTTTATCTTATATATTCCTAACGTGTGTTTGATATATATGAATAATGACATGCAAAGAGAGAGAATGCCTTCTGACCATGAACTGAAAATATCTTTCCCTACTCCAGAACCCTTGTATTTGTTTGTTACATAATGGTTCTAGTTTAATAAAGAACAAAGTAATTGGGACCTAGTTTTTATGAAGTTAAATGAGACATTTATTTAGCAAAACTGATTATTCTACTTTACCCTTTGCAGTTTATCAACTCGGTTTGGAACTGTGGCTGTTCCTAACATCCTTCTTTTTCAAGGCGCTAAGCCAATGGCAAGATTTAACCATACAGATCGAACTCTGGAAACACTGAAAGCATTTATTTTCAATCAGACAGGTAAGATGAACTATGAATCTGGAGAGTTCATAGTCCGCTATAGTCCAATTTAACTCTAGTAAATATTTATCTTATTATCTCCAGGAACATTGTTATTTTGTTCTTCAGTTAGGAAGGTACTGGGAAGCAGTTTTATCCTTGATGAAGATGTGAGATTTTGAGTGAATACAAAATAAGGCTGCAGTCCTAGAAAGACAAATAATATTCTACTTCTGCAAATCTTGGTTCTGCTGAGGCATCTTGATATCCTCTCTTTTGTTTCTCAGTTGCCTTATTTGGATACTATAACCATAACTCAATATCAGAGGTCAATATTAGTATGCATATTACAATCTGGATACATATATGGTTATGTACATATCTTGCAGCTCCTCTGTGGTTGCCTTATTTGGATACTATAACCATAACTCAGTATCAGAGGTCAATATTAGTATGCATATTACAATCTGGATACATATATGGTTATGTACATATCTTGCAGCTCCTCTGTGGTTGCCTTATTTGGATACTATAACCATAACTCAGTATCAGAGGTCAATATTAGTATGCATATTACAATCTGGATACATATATGGTTATGTACATATCTTGCAGCTCCTCTGTGGTTGCCTTATTTGGATACTATAACCATAACTCAGTATCAGAGGTCAATATTAGTATGCATATTACAATCTGGATACATATATGGTTATGTACATATCTTGCAGCTCCTCTGTGGTTGCCTTATTTGGATACTATAACCATAACTCAGTATCAGAGGTCAATATTAGTATGCATATTACAATCTGGATACATATATGGTTATGTACATATCTTGCAGCTCCTCTGTGGTAGCAGGAGTTACTGTTATGATTCTCTGCATTATTTTGGGCTTGCATGTTTGAGAACTTAGTTGATGAGAGGAGTGAATGCAAGAAAGGTATTTATTGCTGTAAATATTCCTCTTCATGCTAACAATGGAATAAGCCAGATGTCCTGGGTTTTCCTTTATACACAACAGAGGATAAAGCAACTTCTATCTTTATATGCTATAGCAAATAATTGGGAAAGCTAAGACAGAAATAAACTTACCAAAATAAGCACTATTTTTCTTCACTGCCTCATGAAGGAGAGAAGAAATCAAGGGACTACTCCCTATATTGATGTTTTTAGACTAGGATGATTGTCTGCTTATTTTCTGTCACTTTCCCCAGGCAATCTGAAGAGATAAAACAGGCTAACAAAGCTACATATTATGGAAATTATGAAAATACAAACCTTTTTGAGGCTGTAAGAGTTCTTATTTGAAGAATGAAATGGAAATAGAGCAACTAATAAAGAATCACAATATGTAACAACAATAGTTTTAATTATGTTATGGAAATATATTTTTAATTCAGTGAATAGATTTTAAAGCATAATTAATGTCTTGGTGGATGGTAATATGCTGAAGTCTAAATTTCAAAATAGAAAATGGAGATTTATACATGCAAATAGCTGCAGTATGATTTATGACGCTTCATCTTGCATCAAAGTAATAATTGGATATTTTATTTCAGGAATACAGCCTAAGTCTGATGTGGTGGTGAGCATGGAAGATCAAGCTGGTCCCCTGCCTAGCACACTGAGTAAAGGAATAGATTGGCTCCTCTTATTTTCTTTATTGTTTCTTATCAGTTTCATCATGTATGCTACTATTCGGACAGAGAGCATCCGTTGGTTAATACCTGGTCAAGATCAGGAGCATCAGGAGTGATACGTGATTTAAGTACTGTCTGCTTTCAGAATAAGTTCATAAACTTGTACAATGGATCAATTCCTCTACATCTTGTGAACTGGAGCCCTGTTGCGTTAATCACATATTAAAAATGCCAGCATCATTCAGAAGAAATTACTTAACTTATAACAATGAAAACTGTAGTTGGTTAATTAAATGATAATGGGGCAGTTTTACCCTGTAGAACCTATACTCTGCAGAACCTATTTTTTAATGGAAAATCAAGATTTTTTTTTTTTTAAATGGCCTGATAATCTTGATAGAGTGAACAGATCACTGCTTATTGTAGAAATTCTCACAAACCTTGAAAATAATTGCAGGTGAATAAGATTGTAATATGAAAATAATAGATTTAAGCATAAAATACTGGTTTGAGAAAGCTACTTAATCTTTTTTTCCTCAACTTTAACAAGGCACATTCTTGAAAATTCCATGCCATTGGATAAATCTCTAAGTTACTGACACCTTCACATTTGTGCTTTGATCATAGTATTTGATTACAATTGTTAGAATTAAGAAAACATTTAATAGTTCCTAATCTGCATGTCATTTATTTTGGAGACTGAGACATACAGTTTAGTATTTTAAAAGGACATAAAACAATGCATGCAATAGATTGGAAAGAGGAGATACAATTTCATGCATAGTAGTGTTATATTTAAATTAAGTATGGGTGTAAATGTATGTATCATTTAATAGGCACTGCCTTTTTTAATGGTATGTTTTTTTGTTTTGATGCTTGTGTTTGTAAGAGTTTGCATCAACAGAAATTAAAAGTACAACCTATGACATGGGTAGCAATGGCACTGTGGCTACATTAAATACAGCTGGATTTTTTAGAGCTGTTGTATCATAATAAAGCCATTCATGGTAGAATATTTCAACTTTTAAAAACTTCATTGGAAAACCGGCATAAGAGACCAATATAAAATACCACAGCTGTGCGCAGCACACAGAAAACGGCATCAAAAGTGGCTCAAGTAAGATCTAGAAGAGATGATACAGACATACCTTATTGTCCTCTTGCATTTGATAACTGCTGAAGTGTGTGTTCGCTCACAGCTGAATATTGTTATACAAGTACCACAAAACATGAACTGAGAATGTGGTGGATGGATGGCTTGTAAAACAGTGATTATTGTCTCCTTGCCCTGTCTGGAGATTGTTGTGTTATTTCCTAACTCAGCAGCATTTAGTAGAAACAACAGATTACTAGATAAATTATACTTTCCTTGCTTCAGACAATGCTACTTCCCATCCTATTCTATGATAGAAAAGGAAAGGCTGATTTCTTTCCTTACAAGTTCAGTAGAAGTGCCAACTGTGGCTGCTGCCACCTGGGGTGATAAATTGCTGGGGAAGGTGCCAACTCTGATCCCCCACCCCCGGCCTCCGTGTTTAGGACCCAAAGAGATGCAGGCGCTTTTCAATCCCCGCGCGGCTCTGAGGAAACCCAATCGCTGTGGCCTTTGGTCTAACTGACCCAAGCCGGTCATTTCGGGCCCCCCCCGACGGCATCTGGGAAAGGCTCAAGCCGCGCACGTTCCCCCGGGGAGAGTCAGGGGCCGCCGCGCCTACGGAGCCCGGCCTCCGAGGCACCGGCTAGGAAAAGGCTGCGCGGGTCTCGGCGCGCTGGCGCGGGGCCGCGACG